CCACAGCGGAATGAACCGCTAATTCATGCAGAAACACTTATTAAATACTTATTTTCATCAAACTATTTATGTAGTGTTTATTTATTTTTTTTTATAAAATCATTAATTCATTATGTTTTATTTATTTTTAATTTTTAAATGTTTTTTCTCCTGACTTTTCCATGGACCCCCATAGCACTAAAAGGGTCCCCAGAGCCCAGTTTGAAAACAACTGAGTTTATAGATGACCTAAAATCATTAACTAGTGATCTCTTTAGAACATTAGCAAACTTTGTCAAATATCTTTAGTAAAGTTTAAAGGTGTAGATAAACTTTTTTTTGACAAATTCAATGAAAGCAAAATAGTTTAATGCATTTATTCCAATTATTAATCCTTTCAGTCAGTTCTATTGATTTGTTTTTTACTTTTGGTTAAAAAAAAAAAAATTGTAATACCTGTTGTACATCATACAAAATTAGCACTTTTTATTAACATACAGTTGAAGTCAGAATTATTAGTTTCTCTTTTTTTATATTTCCTAAATGATGTTTAACAGAGCAAGGAAATTTTCACAGTATGTCTGATAATATTTTTTTCTTCTGGAGAAAGTCTTATTTGTTTTATTTCGGCTAGAATAAAAGCGTTTTTTAATTACATTTTTTTTATTAATTATTATTTTCTTTAAGCAAATTTTTTCGACAGTCTACAGAACAAACCACCATCATACAATAATTTGCCTAATTACCCTCTCCTGCCTTATTAACCTAATTAACCTAGTTAAGCCTTTAAATGTCACTTTAAGTTGTATAAAAGTGTCTTGAAAAAAATCTAGTTACTATTATAAGATAAAATAGATAAAATAAATCAGTAATTAGAAATAAGTTATTAAAACTATCATGTTTAGAAATGTGTTGAAAAAATCTCTCTATAAAAGAGAAATTGGGGAAAAAATAAACAGGGGGCTCATAATTCAGACTTCAACTGTATGTGTCATTATAGATTTTAAGCAACTACAATTTATTAAGTGAAAACATCTAAAAATGATAACATCTAAATAAAGGGTTTTTATTCAAATAAAAAATTACATTAACTTAAATAATAATAACTTAAATAAATATTGGATTAATCAATTAGAAATGTCCCCTTAAAGTATGTATTTCCTTTTACATAAACCTTGTTTTCTACAATTATGACACTAATTAAAGAGGCAAATTTTGTGATGTTGATTAGTTAATAAAAATCAGGCTTTTGCTTTCATTGATGCTGAAAAACAATAACACAAATATGCAACGTACTTGCCACAAAACACCATTATTTGTTTTGATTGAACTGCTCATTTAAATAGTTGCTAATATGACATAGCATTAATAAACTGTATTTACAACTCGTCTCAGACCATGGATCCAACTGATTTGAATAAGTATATCTATGATACACATATTGAACATCAAAATGAACAACAACAACACATTAACATCAAGTATAGGGGTCTCAGCGCCCCCCACATTTATTTGTAAGTTCTTTAAAAAATGTAGTGCTTGTTTGTACATACAAAGGTGCATTTATTAATTTATCTTTGCAACGATAAAATTATAAATAAAACAATTAAAAACATAAATAAATAAAAACGGGGTAACATTCAAAGTTTGACATGAACATTCGGAGTTAGATTCAGACATACAAAAGGATACAAAAAGGGGAACCAAAACAAATAGAAAATGCAGTGTGAATAGATATGGCACGTGTGTCGAGCGACAAGCTGCAGGCAGAAACATTTCACATCATGTTCGCAGCGTCCTGACAGCAAGGAGATATTTGAAGAGTGGAATCACTATTGGCATATCAGTTCTCCGTGCACTTTCAGAAATTATAAGCAAAGCACAATTTATATTTTGCTCCAGTTACATGGCAGAAGAATACACCAAACTCTTGGTGTTTTTCTCTCATCGTATGACAATATAAATCCTCTTTACCACACACTCACACACCAACATTCTGAAAATCTCTCCTGAAGGGAACAACATTCCCTCATCATGCTGAAACACATATTAAGAGAGCACTCATGGATGTAGTTAAAGGGAAAATTCCATCAAAAATGAAAAAAAAAGAAGTTGTTCCAAATATTTGTTTTTCTTTTTTCTGTTATACACAAAAGAAGATGCTTTGAAGAATGTTGGAAACCTCCAACTATGAATGCCAATGGTCATCGGGTTCCAAAATTCTTTGAAATAACTGCTTTTGTGTTTAAAAGGTAAAAAAAAAAAAACAGTAAAAGGTGAGTAAATTTTCATTTTTGGGGCAAATTATCCCTTTAAGTTCACAATGCAAAAAGGCGTAGCAGGGTGAAGCCACTCACAGTGTTTGGTACAAAAAGCCTTTTGAGTTTACAGCGTTTTATAATATGAAACACGGCTACAAATAAAAGAGAACGGCTTTGGCATCGATATATTTTATATGCATTAAAAAGCATTAGTAATGTTACTTATGGTTATTTAATAGCCATAAATAACAGCGTGATTCCTGCATCTCAGACCTGTCATCTCCTTCTGCTCAAACACGACTCTGTAAAACCTTTCGTCATAAAGGAAACTAAGTCACTTCTATAGCAGTCATAAAAGAATCATTCAGTCTCGAGTGAACCAATTGATGCCTGAAATAAGGGTGTGCAATATATACGATAATTATTAGGCGGCTCATTCGGCTGTGGCGTCCCCTGATTAATAAAGGGACTAAGCTGAAAAAAATAATGAATGAATGATAATTAAACAATATTTTGCTGAGTGTGTTGTTACGTTGACTTGTTTAGATCTGTCATGGATTAATAAACAGACAACAAAACTGCCAGCAGGTGGCAGCAAGTACTTCATTACATCTTTCTTACTGTATAGTGTGTTAAAAACAAACACTATATGAGCAGAGAACTATTTACTATCCCGTAAGGCCAAGGAAAAGGATTTGTGAGTAGAAGTGAAGCTACGAAAACTGTAGCTTGTAGGTCATGAGTTATGCAAAATGGCCTCCTATATATATAGTCATACTACTGTATAGAAAGTGGTCAAAAAGTAAATTGAAATGTCATGCCCACTGAGAAAGTATGATTCATTTAAAATGAGTCATTAATGTAGAAATAAAGCACATACTAATGGATATTTAAAGCATTGGCTCACATGATTCATTCAGAAGCAGACTCATTCACTGATAAAAATTTGTAGTGTTGAGAAACAAACATCGACCTTCGGTTTTACTACATTTTTTTCATTGTGAATGCACTACTTGCACTATTTATACTACAAAATGGTGTCGAATGGTGCATAAGTATGCGAATTGGGATGCATCTATTGACAATATAAAGGGTCGTTCTAAACGCCTTAGAGTAGACTTTTGAGTCATTTGAATGATTTGTTCAAAATGGTTAATACATGAAGTAAAAGTTAATGAATGACTGAAACATTGACTCAGATTGAATCATTAGCTCAAATGATTCGTTCAGAAAGAGACTCATTCAGAGGCAAAACACTGTAGTGTTGAGACACAAACATTGGCCTTGGGTTTTGTTACTTAAAACATATTTAACATATATATTGTTATATATTTAACTTTCCTGACAAATTATTGCTTTGTTTTAATTGCATTCTATTAGACCTTTGAATCATTTGAACGATTTGTCGAAAATGGCTAATTCATGACGCAAGAAATTAAGTAAGTGTTATCGAATCATTGAAACATTGACTCAAATTGAATCTTTGGCTCAAATGATTGGCCCACAATATTTTTGCCTTTGCTTTTGACAGCTAAAACATATATATTGTTAAACATTTTGCTTTCCTGATAACATACAGGGTCATTCTAAATGCGTTCTAATAGACTCAAGAGTCATTTGAATGATTTGTTCATAACGGCTAATACATGAAGCAAGCATTAATGAATCCCTGAAGCATTGACTCAAATTAAACCATTAGCTCAAATGATTTGTTCAGAAAGAGACTCATTCAGAGGCAAAACACTGTAGTGTTGAGACACAAAGCATGTTTTGTTACTTACAACATATTTAACATATATATATTGTTAAATATTTAGCTTTTTTGACAAATTGTAGTTCTAACTGCATTATATTAGACTTTCGAATCATTTGAATGATTTGTTGAAAGTGGTTACTTCATGAAACAAAAAATGAAGCATTAATGAATCAGTGAAACATTAACTCAAATGATTCATTCAATTCATTCAGAAACTAAAGACTCTAGTGTAGAGATGAACTAACATTAGCCGCAAATTCAGTTGACTTGTGTGATATTAATTAACAAAAAAGAAAAAAAAATTCAAGCAAAACCCATGAAGGGATATTGCTTTCAATACTTGGATAATAAGGTCATTTTAATGGTATATGGACGTGTTTCTGTTTAATATTTTCCTAATAAGTTGACATACCGCATAATGTGAGCTCACATGACAATTATAATATTATCGCAGATGATAAATATTGCACACCCCTTCAGACTGTAATCAGTTAGAGGAAAACAGTAAAGCTAAACTGGCAGCAGCAACAGTCAAAAGGGCCATGTTAAAGAACAAACAAACAAACAAACGGCTGTACACTTTACACATTTTGTACTGTACATGTAATACTGTCACTATTCCATGAGCAGTCCTAATGTTTGAGAGATTTTGCTACTGAGTCCAGTGGCAGAGATGAAGCAAAAACGTCAATTCATTTTGAATTTGAAAAGGACAGAGGACCACAAATCTCTTGCTTTAAGGACCGTTCTAAAGTGCTTGAAATGTTTTTGTTTAGTGTGCTCATGCATGAATGTGGCTCTTAAGTGCAGTCTTAAGGTAAACCTTGTAAGAACCACAGTTGGCGGTTGTAGAAGCTCCAAAGAACAGGAAACGCAGGGGTCGCTTCCTTTCAGAAAACAGAAGCTCGGTAACGCAAAAAATCCATTGGATAAAAGATCCAGATAATACTGTTGGGGTTAATAAAGTGACTCTGGATGATCTCCAACAGCTTCAGAGTCTTTTTAGAAGAAGCTCTTGGGGATTTTGAAGCCTTTCTGCTTCATGCGTGGTAGAGTCAGGCTCGGGGAGCTTTTCGAGCGGCAGGTTTTTGGGACGCCACGCTTTCTCAACAAGAAGTCGTAGTTGGCAGTTGAGTTCATGGCGTAGAAAACGTTTCCATTATCTGGGATTCTGAGTTCTGTTTGGGGAAAAGAAAATCAAGGTAAAATATGGTAACAAAGCTTAATTTAGAAAACGAAATTGGGTTATATTTAAGACTAAATAAATTTTAAATAATTAGTGGCTCCCTAAAAGGTGGCTAAACTTTAGCAAAAAAAAGCCATTTAAAAAAAAAATTGAACAAACGATTGTAATGTTTTGGATTTATTTGTCCAATAATGTGCTCTTTGGAATGGAAGCAAGCATTCAAAATAAAGATTCTAGCAGACTAAAAAAATAAGATTCGTTTAAAAATGCACCAGGGATGCAATACAATAAACAATTCTGGCTGATACCAATGGCCAACTATTGTTTGTATTTTACAGCTGATAAAATGTAATATTTGATTGAAATGAATTATTATATGACTAATAAATTCATTAAATTCATGCCATTTTACAAAGAAAAAAGTTATAAAAAATGGTTTGAAGTAAATTCAAATGGAATTAATTTTAAAATCTACTTAATCTAGAAAACTTAGTTTTAAAGTGTTATTAAGTTAGCTGTTTTAAAACATTGGCTTCATTTGTGAGAATGTGTAATTCAATTTAGAAAAATCAAAACATAGTATATATATATATATATATATATATATATTTTTTTTTTAAATAAATAAACATAATTTCTTTAACATTTTTTGACATTTTTATCTCATAATTACTAATTTCTCAAAGTTTTTGTTCTTCCCCCATAAATCACAGAAAAAAATCAACTCAGAATTGCATGATATAAAGAAAATAGATAGATTGTGACATGTTAACTGAAAGAAAAATTATCAGAGTTTGTACTTTTGACTTTTTTCATTCTTGCAATTCTAAATGTATAACTCACAATTATTTTTTTTTCTTTGAACTGAGAGATAATACAAAATATTACAAAATATCAAAATTATACAATTAGTTTTATAATTTATAATTTATATCAGAATTGTAAAATTAGTCATAAAACCCTTTTACTCTTTTCTTTAATGTAAAAAAATCTGACTTTCTCACAACATGAGAACCGATGTAAATTGTATAACTAGTCGTAAAAACCTAGACATAAAAAAAGACATTTTCTCACTTTCTCACCTCTTGAGAAGCACTTTTGGTGGACACACAAGCTAACATCCACCAATAACTAATAAAAAACCAAGCCCTTCAATATTTCCTGTTTCAGTTCCTTACCTTTATGCTTTGAGACCCTCTGTAACAATTCATAGTCTTCAGATTTGTCATTGTCCAGGTTGTGTTTGGCCATGGCTTTCCTAATGACCCCAGGGGTTTTGTCCTGACTAGTGACCTGAAAACCATGAAAATCATTAAGATTAATCTGACATTTAACATAACATATGGTTCTTTGCCTGATAAAGGGTTAAGGAACGCTCCAACAACATCACATGTTCTATAATATCTCCCACTCACCAGGATACTTTTGTACATGTTGCCGTTTTCTGAGTCCAGGCTGACTCTGATGATGCAGCAGTCATTTGCCTGCTGGTTGTAGAGCGGCAGACTCAGAGACGAGTAGTCTGAGATGCCAGAGACTGAGCGCTTGTGAAAGTTGAAGGTCCGTCCTGTGAAGGCTGAGACTGAGGACGAGGAGGAAGAGGAGGAAGATGTGGAGCTGCTGCAGCCTGACTCTAAACACAAGCCTGATCCAGACGCCTCCAGAGATGATGGGGTGGGTGATTCCCAGAGCTGGAGAAGATAGATTTGATGTATACATGTTCAAAAATAACTCAGTTTCAATTGCAGATTACGGTTATGAAAGTTCAAATACCTTGGTTGAGGAATCAGACGGGAGCTCTCCTGTTTCTGAGGTTGATGAGTGTTTCACAGTTGGTGTGGATGTCTGGAGAAAAACAGAAAGTCAGGTTAATGCATTTTGAATATGTTCAAATGCTAAAAAAAAGCACCCTTCAGTCCATTATAATGGGATTTATTGAATTGGTGCTTTTTTAACTTTAAAAATGTATATATTTTAATACATACTGGTCAGATGTTATAAATTTAAATGACACCAAATGATAATTTACAAATTATTCGACCCATATTTTGAACTTTTATAAGTTATTTTGAAACATGGACCCTTTTCACAAGACTGTTATGATCAAACAGGGTCATGTTTAACGGTCATCATTAAATCCTTGAAAGTTTTTCATATTTTGATTAAAAAAATAAATGTATCAACATTTATAAGCATTTATGAATGTATTACATCAACTTTATATCAAATTACAAAAAACGAATTACTGCTTATGCGAGGTGTTTCTAATGCAGCTTCTATGGGGCTGAGAGTAAATTTGATTTTATTCTCATCTCTGACTGTGATTATCAGTCCCAAGCTATTTTTTTCCTTTTTCTGAAAGCCTTAAAAACATCATCATGGAGTTTTTCTTGTATTATTTCAGCAAATAAGGTTGTAAACAAATATTTGTTGTACTCTCCTATTCACTGCGCTCTAAGTTTATCCAGCTATGATGCCTTCCGCTACTGAGAAACCCGAAAATGTGAAAAGGGTCTATTAAAGCAGAAATTTTTACTGCAATTAATATGCTTAATATTTATATAAAATCACTTTTTTTCACACATGTATAATTTTTTTTATTTGAAAAAAAAGGATCAAAATAACAAAAAAATAAAACCAAAAGCCAAGTTTAGCTTTTAAATTCTAAAACTTAAAAATATAAAAATGCAATAAAAATAACAGACAAAAGTGCTGAAAAATTATTATTTGTGCAGCCTTAGGCAATACCGATAATTAAAACAAACTATAAATTCTACATTGTAAAAGTGATAAGATTATGTGTTTGGTGCATCACCGCATTTTTATTTCAGTGTATTTCAATCCATGAACATAATTTCTGCAACTTAAATCTAAATAAATGTACAAAAAAAAAATTTGATTTCAGCTAGTAAAGCAACATCTCTAAATTTCAGTTGAACTTGATTAATTAACATGACTAAAACAACTATAAAACTGAACAGAAATCTTCAAAACCTAATAAAAATGACATAAAATACATAACTTTTAAAACATTTTACTGAAAAAGAAAATGTAAATACATAACTATAATAGTAAATCAGTAACACTAAAATAACACTGATCTAAATATAAACACTGGAACTGTAAATTAAGCACAGGGCCTTACTCTCTGACTGCCCGATTCAGGAGAGTTGAGCAGGCTGAGACTCTCGTCTGCATCTGAGCCGCTGGATCCTGCAGAGGTGAGGCTGAGGGAATCAGCTCCATCTTTAAAGCAGTCTTTGAACTGGCTTAATCGCGGCTGCTCAAAGGACTTGGAGTGTGACGCAGCGCTGCTGTAGCCCGACTCCTCGCTCATGCGCTTCATGATGCCTCCATTCTTTTTGCACAACGACTCAGACGGCGGCTCGATATCACACGACATAGAGTAGCTAAACACAGAATAAAATATTACTTGTGAAAATGTATAAAAATAAACCTGTCTCTTTAAAATCTAGTTTTCAAATCATTCCTATTTTAATTTGTGGTCTGTCTCACCTCTCGGTCTCTGTGAGTTTCTCCACTCTCTTAAACCAGTCAATAAAGCGCTGGTTTCTGCTGAAGTTGTAATAATTGCAGGTCAGCTGCAGCAACTTGATCTGAGCGATCACTTCAAATTCCTAAACAGATCAACAAAAACAAAGCACTTCATTTGTATTCCTTTTATTGAAATATGTACGTTTTTTAATATTTAAATGGTCCAAAGGACAAACAACTTTGTAAAACGTGGAAATTTTACTCAAATAAGTCAATAAAATAGCACTAAGAGGTGTTAGCACAAGGCTAAGATTTTTTAGCATAGTTCACTAAATAAATTAGCATGTACCATGTGCTAAAACATGCTAGAATCATGTTAGGAAATTGTTCAAACACCATGCTAATACATCTTAGCAAATAGCTTCAACATATTAGCTGTTTTCTGAAATAAGCTAGAAACATTTCTTTGATATTTGTATAAGTAAGACCTTCAAACTTCGAGCTTTTCTTATTTTAATTTTTTTTTTTGTAAATCTGGCTTAGTTAAACCAATGTTTGTCAAGTATTTTTCTAATTTTTTTAATTAACTCAAGTATCACATCATTTTAGTTTTAGGCAACTATAACAACCTGTTTCAACAGCTTAGCTCACATTAGCTTGTCTAAACCAATCAGCATCCGGGAATGAAACTATTTATTTTAGAAAATATAGTTTTTCATGAACAAAGACTGACCTTTCTTCTCTTCTCAAAGTTAATCAGTCCGACCTAAAGAAATTAAAAAGAAAATCACATAAGTTAGAATATTATTTTATAACAAAACTATTACAGATAATACGCATTTTCTCCACTTTGTCCCTCTCACCTCCAGATGGTCTTTCATAGCAGTATCCAACATGACGAGGTCAGTCAGAAAAGTGCCAAGGTATGGAATCGTTCCTTGCACAACACCCTAAACAACACAGACAAAAAGAAACTAAATAATTAAACAAACAATTTACAATGTTGCAAGCTTATGTTTCCATTCAGTTTCCTGTAAGCTGTAGAAACTGAACCCCTTTGACCACTAGAGGGCGCTATTTCTTCACAAATATCAAGTTAGAGTAACATAATTTGACATTTATGTCTGTACACACCATGTCTCTTTGCTGCTGGTGTCTCCTCTGGGCTCCTTTGTGGTTTATCTCGACTATGGCAGATTTAGAGGTGCCCTCCTGTGGAAACATCAGGTTTGAATCATCATTTCAGCATTTCACTGACGTAACACTCACAGCCCTATAAGCTCAAGTCAGATAAGGCTGCCGAAGTGGAATCTTAAGACTGCACTGTCATAAAATACCCTGACGTAGAATTGACATGGACTTAACTGTGTGATCAGGGAATTTAAATAACTTTAAAAAGGTTTAACTTTGAGGGTTTTAATTTATTCATGTTACTAAGACAAGGCTAACACTTGTAAAGCTATTGCTAGCATGTTTCAAGCATTGTTGGCATTCTGCTAGCTTTAGTTAAATGAGTGCTAAAGAAAAAAAAATTAACATGCTTTTTGGTGAACAGACTACCATTTGTATAACCACAAACACATTGGTGTCAGTATAGCAAAGCCATCCTGAATTTATAGTTATAGTTTAATTGCAAATGTTTTTAAATTTTATTTTAGTTATATAACCCCTATAGCTCATTTTTGTTAAGTTAATAAAAGTTAGCACCAAACTTAACATTTTTATCAATATTTAGACTGCACCATCATGATATACCATGACACAGAATGGAGTTTAACTGTTATGGTCAGAGTTTAAAAAAGTTATATTGAAAAGGTTTACATTTAAATGTTTTACTCCAACACGTCAATGACAAGGCTAAGATGTTTTAACACTAAGCAGCATATATTAGAATGTTGTTAGCATGATTCTAGCATTGTTGGCACTCTGCTAGCATGAAATAACATGACGATAACATAACATGTAGCCCAATATGTGCCAAAACATGCAAGAAACATGTTAACATTAGCATCCAAACTAATTACCCCTAAAAATGTATTTTATTGGAGTTAAATGTATTTTGACAATGTTTTTGGCGGACTGTGGTTACCCTACTGAAAAAAACAACTTTAACAGCATAGGCTGGTTGGCTGGTTTTAGCTGCTTGACCAGGCTGGTTTTAGAGGAGTTTTGGCCACTTTCAGGCTGGTTTCCAGCCATTACTAGCCTGGTCTTGGTTGATCAGGCTGGGAAATGACCAGCTAAAACCAGCTTGAAGAGCCCAGCCAGCTTAAACCAGTCTGGTCAAGCTTTTATTAGCTGGTCATTTTCCAGCCTGACCAGCCAAGACCAGGCTGAAAATAGCTGGAAACCAGCCTGGAAGTGGATCAAAACCCCTCTAAAACCGTGCTGATCAATCAGCTAAAACGAGCCAACCAGCTTAGGCTGGTTTAAGCTTTTTTTTTCAGTAGGGTATTGCAAATCCATTGTGAATTTGTGGCTACTATGGTTTAACTACAAAACTGTGTTTATTATTATTTATAGTTAATTTATATTAAGGTAATAAAACTTAGCAGCATAGGTATGATTGTTAGCAAACTTTAGACTGCGCCATCATGATATGCCATGACGCAGAATGGACGTGGTGTTTAACTGCATGTACATATGAGATATGTTGGCCAACACCCTGGGGAAGACCTTCTGTGTTTAGCAGGAGTGTTTATCTGGTGGTACAGAGCAACTATGACCTCATGCCAGGAATTCCCTTATGGCAGCAACTGCAAGTTTTTCAGCCTCAGCTCGCATACCAGAAATGCTTTCTGAAGTTCTGCTCTAGTTTGCTTTCTAACGTTGAATGCACGTAAAGGAAATATTCGTCATGTGCTACTTCTTTCTATGCAAATGACAGCTTCCGAAAGATACTTGTGGGGTGGAGATAAAGATCATAACAAAACAACTTAACCCTTTATTAAGCCTCTCACTTCCTGAATCACTTGTTTGTGTGTTATAGAGCATCAGGTTGCCATATCAAGAAATAATTTTTCTCTTGTTGTTCAGCAATTAAATGTTCAAAAGACTCATTAATTCCAGAGGACAAATGTTTAAAAAATCATAAATATAGGAAACACTAAAATTTTAAAAGTCTAAAGATTTTCTTGGGCGGTACAGCAAAAAGGTTGCAGGTTCGAGCCCCAGCTGGGTCAGTTGTAATTTCTGTGTGGTGTTTGCATGTTCTCCCAGTGATCGCTTGGGTTTCCTCAGGGTGCTCCGGTTTCCCCCCACTAGTCTGAAGACATGGACTATTGATGAATTGAATAAGCTATATTATGTAGTGTATGTGTCTATGTCCTGGTTATTTACTAAATATATTTATTGAACTTAATTATTACTTCATAATTCTAATGATTTTTGACATAAAAGAAAATTGCCTCTTACAATATATTTTAGCTATTGCCAAAACATACCCATGCAACATAAGTCACATAAAGCAAAAATTTAAATATATTTTATAATATTGTTACAATTTTCAGCATAATTATTCCAGACTTTAGTATCGCACAATTCTTCAAAAAATAATTTCAATATGCTTAATTTCCTGCCCAATAAACATGTATTATTATCATCAGTCAATGTTGTGCTCCTCAATAATTTTGAGGAAACACTTAAACTGAAAGGTCAAACATACTGGATATATTTAAAATCTCTAACACTATAAACCTCTTTACAGTCAGTTGTTATCACTTAGATGCATCCTTGTTTCATAAGAATATTTAATAAAATTGTAAGACTTTTGAATGTTAGCATGCTCTATATTTTAAGCCACTTTTTATTGGTTTAAGCACAAATCAAATAGAATTTACTGAAAGTTATGTAAAAAACAACAACAAATGAAACAAAACAAAAATAAATAAATAAATAAAAATGTATATACGAATTATATACAAAATTTGTGCCAAATCTCATACCTGAAACCAAAACTACTATAAAAACTTTCACAAAAGTTGCATAAGGCTTTTAACATGAACGGCTTCTTTTCAAGACCTCTATCAAATGTAGAAGCTTGCCAGCTAGTGAAAAGAGCAACAAAAGCATTTGACGCTGTGCTCCGGAAAACTCAGCAGGCCATAGATAGTTGAGCCAGAAGGCCACAGATATTGTGCAATTGAAAATTGCTTTCTGTTTACCTTGCAACTGCTATAGAAACATGGCTTTAAAGGTGCTGAAAGGACTAGTAAGTCACTAAGTGCTTCTGTGAATGACAGTGTGATATAACCACATCCCGTCTTGCTCCAGCAGCACCGACAGCAAATGCTGTTGGTTTTGTGGTGCACTTTTAAAATTTTGAAAAATGCTTGATTAAACATGTGACTTGTGACCAAAGGTGATTAGACTGGAAAAGGAAATGGGGAGATTTCATAGTTCAGTCGGCATTATCTATAAATGGAAAACTAGAACAATACACTTAATTATTGTGAGTTCTATTAATATTATTATAATTTGTTTAATCACAATCATGAATATTTAGCAGACAATTAATTGTCAAACAAAAATTGTGATTAATGGTTTAACTTTAACTGTGATTAATATTTAACCTTTTTTGCCCCACCCCACCTACACACACACACACACACACACACACACACACACACACACACACACACACACAGAGTATGTCAAACTATTCCTGACATTTCTTCCAAATGTACCATGAAGAAATGTAATTAAAGTAATTAATATATGTAAATATAATAGTTAAGTTATTTAATTATATTTCCCTTTGTATTATGCAAAAAATAGATTTTACAAAACAAATAAAGAGGGAAATAAATAACCTTTTATTATCACATATTTTACACTTTTAATCCCATTATCCCAATAAATTACCCATACAGTATTACTCCCATATTACTTTGCATTTTAGGCTCGTTTTAAGAACAAAGTATTCACAACTAGTGTGCTTAAGGTTTGTGTTGGGTGGGGGGGGGGGGGGGGGGGGGGGGGACAGGTTCACAAATGTTTTCCTCACCTTAATGAGAAGCTCTCTGCTGAGTGAGTAATTATTGTCGTCTGAGAAGATTTCAGACAGCTCTTGGAAAGTTCGATAGCTTTCCCTGTAAGCAGAACCAAATTGCTTGAGTCATAATCTGCTCACGTGAAATCCAAACACTGTGATTAACTAGCATTCACTTCTCCACTCCAATATCACTATAACAGAATGTCTTTCATAAAAAGCTGTTTTAGCTGGCAGTCTGTATGATGACTGAGCACATAAGAGGCTAGCACAGAGAATGCTACCTTTAATCAGTGGCTAATGCTAATGCTAAAGCCCTTATCCTTAACTCTGGCTAATTGTTGCTGACAGAAATCCAGTCAGACTCTTACCGTGAAACATCATCCCAGGCCCTTCTCAGCCTGTGGATGGCATTACTCTGCAAGGCAGACAGGATGGCTTTCAGAGAGGAGAAGCTCTTCAGGATACGGCATTTCTGGTGTCAAGACAAACAAATGAATGTTTATGAACTGCAACACTTGTGAACTGCTTAAGAAGAAAGACGTGTGCTACTATAATGCATCAAAACTTAAACTATGCTAAACTTGTCAAAACAGTGCTCTGTTGTCATGGGTGCTTGCCAAGGCATTGCTAGCGGTTTTAAGTGTTTTTAGAGCATATACATGTGGTAGTTACACTCAGAAATAAAGGTACAAAAGCTGTCATTGGGGCAGTGTGTTTTTACAGTGACTAAAGGGGCATATTAATGCTTTAAAGATGCATATCATTACCAAAAGTTTAAATATTAGAACCTGAAAAGTGTAAAAATACACCATAATAATATTAACTGTTCCAGTAATTGTGTTTTGAAATGTTTTTTTTGGTGATGGTACTGTATATGGTTGGTTGCTAGGGTTCTTTATGTGGTCTATAGTGTTATAGTTAATTCTGAAAGTATTAGTTCACCCGAGAAATTAAAATTACCCCATGATTTACTCCTCGTCGGTGCATATGACTTTCTTCTTTCAGATGAAACATGATTGGAGTAGTTTTAAATTTTATTATGGATCTTCAATGCTGTATAATGTTGTTGAGCAGTGGCCTTTTTCAAAGCTTACAAAAATGAATAAATTCGTAAAAAGTCATACGCATTAGGGCTGTGCGATATGGGGAAAATATCTAATTGGGATTTTTTTGACAGATATTGCGATTTCGATTTGGTTTGCGGTTTAATTTTGTAGTCAAGTTTCAGCTCAATAATCTGTATTGTAGCTTCTTACTACTAAAATGCAATGAGTGTTACTTAAAAAAAAAGAATGTAAAAGATATTAACTTTAACATTTATTCAAATTTGTTTTTAAATATTCAGAAATTAAACACAAAATTTTCTCTAGAGGAATCAGTAAGCTCAAATAAAATAACCTTAGCTTTCTGTAAAGTAGGCAGATTGAAAAGTTCTGATTGGGCAGATTGAAAATGTGCTCACTTAATTGGCTAGGAAGACTGTCAAACACAGTTACGCATTTGCTCTGGGTTGGAGAAATAATACACATATACTCCAACTGCGATTCGATTTTGATTAATCACATAGCCCTTATACGCATGTCTTTTGAACTGTATCAGAGTGTTTTGTGAAAAAATCATTAAAAATATTTTCAATTATAAACTCAAATCACTGACTTTTGGCAGTTGCCGAATATTCGACTCGGAAGATAACGACAAATAAGAAAACTAGTTGGCTTGGTTTTACTGTATTATAGAGTATATTACTCTTCCGCTATGAATACTTCTTATGTTATGCGTCATTTGTAGTCAGAGGTCAGCCAAGAATTTATCGAAAACATGCAGGATTTGAGTTTATAATTTAAAAATTAGAAAAACATTTGTTACAAAAACAACAATTCATTACACAAGACATGTATAAACCCCTTATCGGCTGTGGGTTAGTTTCACACAGATTTATCCCCCAACATTATTATACAGAACGGAACAACCATATATAATTTAAAATTACCCTGACTGTGTTTGTCTGATAGAAAAAGTCATATATACAGAAGATGGGTTAAGTGTGAGTAAATTACAGGGTTATTTTCATTTTTGATTGAACTGTTCTTTCCTCCTGTGTATACTTTTTTATGTATGAATGCAAAAATGTGCATGTTCTGCATTTGTGCTCCAAAAATTATGAGCTTTGTGCACTTGTAAAATAAAATAAAACTGGTGGTGAAGTGAAGTACACTAATCCTGTGAACAATGTTGAAAAAACAAATGTTGTCTTACCCTGGCAACTTCTATCCAATGTTCAATGCGCTTCGCTCTTTGGAAAGGTCTGAGAGACCTGTTGTCCAGGCAGGTGGCGATCACACAGTTGGTCACACTGTTAAACTGAGAAACAGTAGCACGGATGGTTGGTGCCAGGTGCTCTTTGCCCTTTTTATCCCTCTGGGACCATATGCCCCCTAAACAATGATATGGAACAACCCTCTTAAACAGCTCCTGTGAACAAAAACAATGCATTCAGTCAAATTCACCTAGTTTTGCAGGATGACTTTATTTACATCGATGCTATTCAATGACCTAGAAAGGTAAATCATTTTCTCAAGTTTAGATCTCTCAGCTGACAGAAATATTTCATTGCTTCAAGTCAACAAAAACTTGCTGACTGACACATACTGGGTGCATAAACAGATCAATAAAGCAACATTGTATGAAGATTGCAGTACAGAACTGTCCTTATTCTGTCTTTGTGTAAACCTTTGCAACCAACTTTACCTCTAACCTTTTAACTAACAGCTCAGCCACTAGACTACTGAGGTCCTATTTGGCTATTTGGTAGTAATATGCACTTTTGTTGATCTGATCACAAGTGGAGAACACTGAACATAGGTGTAAATCCTGTCTCAATTGTTCCATCACTGTTTTTAATCCTTTAACGCCACATGAACTGTAAAGGGTTTAATATTGGTAGTTCATTTTTAAATAAAAATAGCAAAATGTTCGTTAAGAGTTACATTTTTCGCTGGAGGAAACCGATGTGCTGATGAGGTGAACACAGAGAAAACCCGACTGCTCCTCCGTGACATTGGGTTACAGGTGATACAAAGTTATTTATATCAAAGAACTGCAAATAAGTAGATATTATAACAATTTATTAATGATTCAAATTATGCCGTGTGAAATGTGTTCTGCTTGAAAATAACATTGCAGGTTACCTACAGCCACTTCTCGTGTTTGTTTGGTATTGAAACGTAAGTTGGACAAAGTTGTCGGCGATTCTTCCATTTTCTAAGTCGTGCAGTGTGTAAACAGCACCGATTTAACGCTAACCCAGATAGTCATCCAGTGTGAAAACATCTATGACGTGACTACTTTGAAAATCATGCAGTCTGAACTCGGCATTAGGCACATTTTTAAGTGAATTACATCTTGGATGACCACTTAGTCAAAAAACGCATGTTAAAGGTCACATGAAATGTTGATTTTTTTTGATGGTAGTATTTATTTGTTAGTTTTAATAATATCTAATAAGCTATTGTGTTTTAAAACAGTGACAACATTATCATTTAGAAGACATAAATCTGATATAAACACCCAAAACTTCCACATAAATGGATCACCTCATACTTCAGTTTCTCATTAAATCTTCTGACCAGTCAAATGCTCTCTAGTATCTCACATGTCCTGCCCTCTTCAGAATGAATATTATTTGATGTTCATTTGATGCGCTTAAGTGCTCAACCAATCAGAGGGCAGAGCTGTTAAAAAACAAAACGCTATTGGCTATTGTTTTATAAAAAGGGAGGAGCTACGCTATGTCCCGCCCTGTCTTCATGTTTCAGTTGAGAATACGTCAAAATCTGAATACAACAATGCACATTTCAAAGCACTTCACTGAACATTTTATACTGATAGTAATGGCATTAAATTTAAGTTGACAGCTTTAAATTGACGTCTTACCGCATCCATGACTGTTAACTGCTCAGCAACTATAGAAGGACTGAAGGACATGAAATGTGAGGGGGAGAATTCATCCTCCAAACTGCTCTCCTCTGGTGTGGCAAAGGGGCAGGAGCACAGGTCACCTGTACATAATATGCAAGTCCTCATAAAGTTAGTTTGGAAGTTGAACTTTAATATAAGTTTAAAAAATGCATCATTATTGGTGAAGATCATACCTTCAATCTCCACCTCGCACTGTTGGCGATGCTGGAAGTGCTCCAGCAGGTTTAAAGCTCGTCTCTCCAGGTCCGATCCAGAGAAGTTGAGTTGTAAGTAGGATATGAGACTCTGCAGGCATTCGTGATCTGGAGGACTCCAGAAATCCTCTGAGTATTGATCTAACCAGGCACCCAGGATAGATGACACAGTGCTGCCAATCACACAAAAATAAGGATGCTTTGATATTATTAATTTCTGGAAGATATTGATAAGCCAATTAATATCAATATTTTAATGTTTGACATTTAAGTTATAAAATGACAATATAAATATTAAAACTTCTATTTGCTTTTAAATAATGAAGCATTTTTAGATTTTGTTACATGCAAAATCAACAAAATGACACATCAATATTTTGTTGATTTGTCAGCTTACTAAAATAGGTTTTAATATTAAGAATAAAAGTATAAAAATTAATTATATATATATTTCATTTCATATCATTTATTTTTATACTTTTAGTTCTAAATAGTAAAACCTATTTTAGTAAGCTGACAAATAATTTTTTTTATTTATATTTGAATAATATAATAATGTTTTAATAATGTGTATTTTATTTAAATATATATATATATATATATATATATATATATATATATATATTTTTTTTTTTTTATCTTAGTTTGATCATTTGAAAATGTTTCTTTACTAATCAAATCATCATAATGAATGACGAATTTTAAAACTAAAAATGTGTTGTTTCATTAAAGATTTTATGAAATGTTTTGTTTTACACAAGTAAGCATTTGATGATGCCATTGGCAATCCAAATTTATAATAAAAATTGGGTTCTTTCAATCTTGTATGATACATAGTATATCCAATATTGATACAACAAATAAATATCATCTGATCTGATAACCGATAAGGTCACATTTCACAAATCAAATTTCAACTGCAGAAAAATAGATTGAGTTCATTTAAACAACATGAGCACTTACTTTTTAAGCTCTGTGTGGTCTTCTGCTGAGACTTTTGTCTTGCCTGAGGCTGGCAGTTTGGCATATCTAAGAAATAAATTAATGCATTTTAAGTGAATTCATAGTGCTTGATATAAAACCTCTAGAAGAACTCGTGCTTGACGGCTGTTTACCTGTTAAGCAGCAGGTCTAGCACTTGTTTGGTGGTGGCAAATGCTCTGTAGGTGCAGAGGAAAATAGTGACGTAAGTGTAGTCTTTCCCTTTGAAGGCAAAGACCATGTACTCCACTAGTTTCTCCAGTGTGCCAGCCTTAATGGTTCGACCCTTGCACGTCTCGTACAGACTGAGGGCAGAGTCTGTCTCCACACCCAGCCATCGCTGGCCCTTACTGGCCGTCTGGTGGAGCTGCACCTTTCGGAGTGTAATGGTATAGATGGCACCGTCCTCCACCTCCTCTCCAATCTCCTGAACTGAGCTCTACAGATATAAAAAGAGAAAGAACTGAGTATTCTGGTCTTTATTCTTATCTAAAAACACACATTAGACGTTTTGGGCTGGTAATTTTTTTTTATTAAAGGGACAGTTCACACAAATGAACACAAAAGAAGGTATTTGGAAAAATGTAGTGAAAAATGTTAGAAAAAAACATATGGAAGTCATTCATTTATATTCTGTCCGCTTAGTCCATTATTGATTAGGGGTCATACAGCGGAATGAGCCACTAACTATTTCAGCATATGTTTTACACAGCGGATGCCTTTCAAGCTGCAACCCAGTACTGGAAAAAGACGGAAGTCAACGAATAGCTATATTTTGTCCAAAATAGATCAATTTAGTTTGTGTCTAACAGAAGAAAGAAAATCATATAGATTTGGAGATTTAAAGCAAACAGTGGCATAATTGGGTGATATATCTGTTTAATATTTCAAATTATTCAATAAATTAGCATAATAAATCAACTAAATATAATAAAATAATTTTAGAAAGCAAGAATATACAGTTCTGCAGTATGTAAAGATATGTGCCTACAAAATCAACCTAGGTAAACAATGGAAAATTTTTAAGCCGTGAAGTACATGTTTAATGTTTTAATTATAAATTAATTCAATTTATTTTCGTCTTAGTCCCTTTATCAATCAGGGGTTGCCACAGTGGAATGAACCGCCAACTTATCCAGCAAATGTTTTACGCAGCTGATGCCCTTCTAGCCACAAGCCATCACTACATCCAATTTAGCTTATTCAATTCACCTATAGCGCATCTTTGGACTGTGGGGGAAACCGGAGCACCCGGAGGAAACCCAAGCGAACACAGGGAGAACACGCAAACTCCAGACAGAAATGTCAACTGACCCAGCTGGGGCTTGAACCAGTGATCTTCTTGCTATGAGGCGATCGTGCTACCCACTGTGAGACCACGTTTAAATAATTTAATAAATAAATGTGTAAATTAAAAGATAAACAAAAACACAAGACTATACTGTATTGCAGTCATCATGCAAAAATATTTGCTTACACAATCAACCAATCAGAACCCAGTGTCATCAGTCTCTTAAATAAAATACTATACAATCCGTAACTAGCAGCAAAAATAATGTTTAATTATTCAAATATGTATTATTTAGTTTCAATGCACGGTTTAGGGATTTGCAAGGGCATACAGATCTAGCATACCAGAACGGGGGCTTTAAGGGTGAGTCTCGGATTACTGCTGATTTCCCTACTAATCCACATACAGCCTTAACACTAAACGCACAAGACCAAGAGGGTGGCTCTTTATCAGCCACCGTCACATGGCTAACCCAGCCCTTAAACTACACGTCACCTATCAGTGTCAGTTGCATCACTTCACTACCATAAATGAATCTACCATTGACAGATAGTAGAGTGTCCATTGAATGCATACTTGTCGTTCATCCAGCATTTTTGTCTGCTATTTTAGGTATGAATTTGTTTGCGCACTAAGCAGATATGTTTCGCTCATTGAAATGACAGCTTTTTCAGACTTTATACTGTCACCTATAGGCATAGATGAAGCATAACACGAACTATTTTTGGGACCAGTGTTGGGCCGATCACTTGCTTTTTGAGATTGGAGGTGCCGTTTTAACTGGTTTTCTTATGTCCGTGAGCATTTTGCGCACTGGTTATGCTCCCTGTGCTCCTGCCGTTTATACTGCCTGCTGTACCTCGCATTGTTGCTAATGCGCTCTCTGCACCTGCAAAGTCTGAGCTGAAAAATCCTGATATATCAGTCGAATCTTCTTCATTGTCCAATAAAGTGAAAGCAGAGGCAAGGTTTCCGTTTAGATGACAGCAGTTCTGTTATCAAGATGACTATGGAGATTTTTAAAGATGGAGGAGAGACCAGTGGTCGCTGTTTCAAGTTATCTGGAGCTGTATGACTTCACAAATAGTGAACATCACAATGCTATTAAATAGCAGAAGGCCAGGAAGCAAGTCCAGCATAGAGATGATTGGTAATATCAACAGCAGCGCTGGTGCACAATATACAGCTAATTTAGTAGTTGCCTAGTACCACAAAAAGCACAGCACACTTCTTCTTTCTCTCAACAAAAAAGCCATTGCATTGTCAGAACGGAAAAGTCCATTCTACAGTATTTCTGATGTTGTTATTGCGAGCACTTCAAAAACGAAACAATTACTTTTTATTTCAACGTTTATGAATATTCATGTTGTTTGTTAACACTTTACAATAATGATCTATTTGTTAACAGAAGTTCTGTAAATATAAAATGATGATGAAAAATACTAATCTAAGATTTATTACTTAGTTAATGTTTAAGAACTAGCCATAAACTAATAAAATTCACTAGTATATTAATCTAATCAAACATTAACAAACATGTAACAAACAGCCATTTTTCACTGTTCTTGTTAGTTCATGCATTTCAAGCGTTAGCTATTGTTCTTTATAGTATAAAAGAAATGATCTCAATTAAATATGAGCACAAAGGTGAAATATAAATGAGTGTAGCTATTTTTAACTGATGATGTTAGTTAATAATGCATTTACTAATACATATAACCAGGGCTTAAGTGTAACTTTTTTGATCACCAGCCATTGTGGCTATTAGCTTTCCATTACTAGCCACTCGTTTTTTTCACTAGCCACAGTTTTGTTTTAGGGAAAATATATTCGCATAATCTTGATGTTGGTATGGTAAAATTACTTGCGTTATGTCCACATGCCTCCTAACTTTTTTTTATTTCACATGAATTTTTAGGGCTCAACACTAAGGATTTCATTGGCCAATTGATTTCATAATTTGGCCACACCAAACTAATTATTTATTTGCCACAAACTATAAATAATGGGTCAAACAAGCAAAACATAGCTGTGTACATGTACTTTTTATTCAACAAAGATGTTCTTAAAAAACAACAACTGACATTTAATAAAAAAATTCTCATTCATCTAAGGGTGCTTTCACACCTACACTTTTGTTTCGGAACGTATCTCGTTTGCCCAGTTAGCGCGGTTCGTTTGGCATATGTGAACAGGGCAATCGCGCTCTGTTCCGCGCCAAAGTAATCGCTCCGAGATCGCTTGAATGAGGTGGTCTCGGCTCGATTGAAACGAACCCTGGAGCGGTTCGATTACAGTGAGAAAGCGATCCGATACGAGTGCGGTTATATCACAGTGTTTTATGGATATGTAATAGGCATACGGCCATATGAAGAGAGAATTATGAGTAGGGCGGGAAGTTTCGCGAGTCTCCGGATGCCCGCAAATGAGTGATGATCTCCCGGTAATCTTGCATCTCCCTCCCGGTCCTCAAATAGGCATCGTCGCGCACCCTTCTCACCCCTCCCCACAGCATCTCTCCTCAGACACATCGCGCGCAAAATAGTGGGACGCTGGAAAATAAACCCTGACACTCTGACCAATGTGAGGAGAGTTTACTCGCACGTGACTTGTTTTAGCGCTTTTGGTCCGATTAGAAACTTTGCAATGTGAACACGAACCGCTCCAAGAGCAAAGAGCAACAATGTAACAATTGTAATCTCTGTTTCGGAACAACTGAATCGATTCACAGGTGTGAAAGCACCCTAAAACTAAACACAGCAGCTCCCAGACCATCCGGTAACTAAATAAATGGAGAGTTGATCTCCCATTAAAGCAATGTTATTGTAAAGCATAATAATTAAACCATAATAACAAAAATAGCTAAGCAAAAGAAAGCAGGTGGAAAACATTCTGTGTGCGATATTAAAAGGATAATCACGTTCACACAGTTAACGTTAGGCCCAATAATAATCTGTTCAAAGAATGATAAAAGCGAAAGTGGCAACTGCTGCTGAGCACTGCTTTTTTCCCATCTATTTCAAAGATAAACGATCACACCAATTGCGTTTCCAGGCACAGTTTTGCACAAGGAAATGAGACCTTTTAAGCACTTGTGCGCATCACATCAGCTTTGCCTTTCTCACAACATCAACGTGAGCCTGATCATCCTCTCATTTAGTATCCACTTGCTTTCTTTTGCTAGTGCGAAGTTATCAATCGTGCTGCTTCTCGGTTCTAAGAGCACATTTGCACGCATATTAACAAACGGTCTTAAACTAAGACTGTAGTCTTCAGGGACGAGGCAGCTTTGGCAACTTAAAAATGATTTTCAACCAGCCAAAGTGGCTAGTGGGGCCACTGCTGAAATCTAGGTGGGTGTGATTGTCGAGCCCTGACTATAACAATGAATCCTTATCGTGAAGTGTTATCCATTATAATCTTCTCACAATTTCATTAGTTTAACTTGACTATAACAATGAATCCTTATCGTGAAGTGTTATCCATTATAATTTTCTCACAATTTCATTAGTTTAACTTGTGTAGTCTGGACATTTAAATGCAATAAAGTTAATTTTTTTATTTAACCTGGTAAAGTAACCCTTTTTAGCAGCTTACATCAATTGCGCAATAAAACAGCAATAGACATTAGCAAATATATAGTAATATGCCTATGGCGTAGACATAATTGTGATTTTCTCCGTCTGACCAACACAAAACATCATAAAACCAGCCTGATCTCACAAGAACACATAACTATTTGACATACTGTCTGAAATGTAGCTAACTCATCCAATTTAATTTGTACAAAAACATACAATTTAGCGACTAAATCAAAAAGGTTATGAATTGAAATGCTCATAACTGTATAGGTTAATTGATTGGGGATCTCATATATAATGCTTAAATAAAAAAAAAAAACCTGCAGTCAGTAATTCGCAAAAGACTACACTAAATCAAGTACTGTACTAGACGTCATAATGGAAACAAGAGGGAACTCCCAGAGAACTGTGGGAAGTGACTGTGAGCAATGCCTTGGGCAAAGAGCCAGTAGTGTGAGGACGTGTGTGTGTGGGTGTGAGTCACTACAGCAGCTTTCTCTACAGGAGACTGGTTAAACAGATAACTCAACATAAGGCTCTGCACAGCGCTGCTATGGTAACAAACAC